GGCAGGAGAGACCGTGAGACTCCTATCTCCAATACACCACCAGAAAACAGGAAGTGGCGCTGTAGCTCAAGTGGTAGAGCGCTCGCCTTGAGCTGAAGAGCTGAGGGACAGCGCCCAGGCCCAGAGTTCAAGCCCCACGACCGACAAAAAAAAAGAAAAAGAAAATTGTTGTCCAGAACAGAAAGAAATGCTATTAGATTTGGAACAAAATATCAGTACTGCTTACAAATTTGGGTGGAAATTGGATTTATCTGTTCAGTTCTCTGTAATTTGAAGTGGGAAAGTTCTTTTTTTGTTAATGCATTATTACAAATACTGATTAAGTTCTAAGGTTCTCGTAGGTCATTTACATCATGAGTTAAGGAAGTTTCTGTATAATGTGGAAACCTAATTATTCAGTTCAGTTCAGTGAACAATTAAGATTGTTGTGTTGCAGCAAATCTAGGTAATGACATGAAAGATTAAATTATTATTTCTATGAAAGTTAAATGCTTATGTTTTATGAATGTATGGATTTTCACTATTTATGATAATGCTCTATACACATAACTAACACAGAATTAATGCTTTTAGAGTCCGGCACCAGTGGTTCATGCCTGTAATCCTAGCTACTCAGGAGGCTGAGATGTGAGGATCACGGTTCAAAGCTAGCCCAGGCAGGAAAGTCTGTGAGATTATCTCCAGTTAACCACCAGAGAAGTGGTGCTGTGGCTGAAAGTGATAGAGCACTCACCTTGAGCAGAATAGCTCAGTGACAGAGAGAGCCCAGGCCCTGAGTTCAAGCCCCACAACTGAGAAAGAAAGAAAAAAAAACACTTAATGCTTTGGGAGAAATGCAGGGATAGTCTCCATGAGGCCTTAGTCAGGATCTTTTTGTCCTTGAATCGTTATTAGGTGTGTTGTGGTTACTAATATGTATTACTTTAACATTAAGCTTTCATGGCCAACTGCAATATAACTTGTGTTTGAGTAAAGCTTGTCTAACAAAGGAAAAAGTTGTTTTTATTTATTTTTTTGGCTTAGGGACACTAGACAGTACTTTCCTGTGTAGTACCCTTGCAAGCATTTTATATATTGCTTACTAAGAGTATGCACAAAACTATGAAAAATGTGCCTTGCGATAGATTCAGGACACCTGTTGACACTATGAAAGCTGAAACAAAAAGCCAGAATGTGACCTTTGCTGGGTATCTGGACACAGGGAGACTAAGAAGGGAAGGCTTCACCACTCTGGTAGTCTGTCTGTAGATGATCGTGAAAGCACAAGTGTTTTGGTTTTTTTTCCCAAATAAATATTGCCATGTCACTAATTTCACAAATACAGAAGCCACAAATAACAGATGGGCTGAATATCTTTATGACTGACCAGTGTGCATGTCCAGTTTGTATGATCTGACCAGGGGCTTCCTGCTCACCTGGCATCCCTAGGCTTCTTGCTTGGGGCTCACTTCATTCTTAGGTGGCTTGTGCCATAGTACTCTGAGCTCCTAGTTCCTTGGACTCTGTGTGCTATCTCCTATATCCTGTACCTGCTTATGCTGTGCTAGTAGCATGCTCTTTCAGCATCACTGTCTCTTAACGATTGCTTCTGTGTCGTTTAGCTTTCAATGTAGTTGTTTTCACCTAGCTTCTCCATCTGGAAGAGGGCCTGGTGGTGGGCCAAGGGGTAATTGGACCCCTGGAGTCCTGGTATTCCAGGTGATCTCAGGAATAGAGGACCCCTAGAGGTGATCCAAGAGGAGGTTGTCCTGGCAAGGAAGGTGCTTGTATCTGAGGAGGAGCACACGGGGAGGAAGAGGGAGGATTAGGAAGAGGATCCTGGGGCTGTGAAAAAGCAGTGAATGTGTGATTAGAGTGAGAATCCTCTTTATGCTGCTTTTGTGACTTTCTGCTTCAGAATGAAGTTTATTATCCTCTGAAAATTCTACTTTCCATCCCTCAGGGATACCTCGTCTGGCCATTCAGTGCATCATAGCCACTTTAGGTTTTCTTTTTCTTCCTTGGCTTTCCAAGGATATTTGCAAATTAAACAAATTAATTTTTTTCTCTTCAGTGGTGTATCCTTCACTATCATCTTCATGCACAAATTCATCCCCTCACTGCTGTCTGATGAGTCAGTGCCACTTTCATCAGTGCTAGTGTCATTATCTTGATCCATCATCTTAACCTAGTGCAATAAACAGTTGAATCTAAAAGTACTGAAAGACAGTATAAAAAGCTACAAGAAATTTTTGAACATATTCTATATCTTAATGAAAAAGAGAATCCAAAGCAAAATGAACTCCAAGACATGGACACAAGAGGTTTTTCTTTGCTGTTGTTCTTAATGTACTGTTTGATTTCTTTTTTCTTTTGTGATTTTTTTTTCCTCCTATGGTTTATTCCCTGTTGTCACTATATTCGATTTTGGTACCATGGGTATTGTATATAGCTATCATCTTTACTGGTGCTGGAAACGTCATTTTGACCCTGCTAGACCAAGTTCAGGACTTGACAACGTGTCCTCATCTTTAAAACAAAAAACTTGCTTTGTGGCCATACATCTGCTAGACTTAGGGAGGGGGTGGACCATGTAGAGGACTAGGGATTTTTCTGTATGGTGGCAAATGTAAAACACCATGTCCAAGAAGAGGAAAGATAGAAAGTACTCCATTTGGAGTAAAGCAGGCTGAGGTTTTCTCAAGGATAGAGAATGGCTTGATATCCGGATGTAGATGGAATGTCCTGCGTCAAGGTGATGGAGGCAGCATGTGGCATGTACTTCCACAAACGAAGAGTTATTGACAGCATCAAAATCGTGGCTAAGTTATCCTTTTTCTTCTCATATTCTACTTCAGGATTTCTCAATTTCTTTGTAAATATGTGATTCTCCTTTTGTAAAATTAATTTTATTGTCAAGGTGATGTACAGAAGGGTTACAGTTACATAAGTAAGATAGTACATTTCTTGTCTTGTTCCCCCCTCCCTCATATTTCTCCCCCTTTCTCTCCCTTTTATCCCCCTATCCACAAGTTGTACAGATCATTTCCAACATACAGTCTTGTGAGAATCACTGTTGCATAGGTTCCTTCTTTGTCCGTTGTCTCACCATTTTTTTGTTCCCTTTCCCATCCCTAATTCAGATAAACGTACATAAAATACCCATGGTACCAACATCGAATTTAGTGACAACAGGGAATAAACCATAGGGGGAAAAAATCACAAAAGAAAAAAGAAATCACACAGTACATTAAGAACAACAGCAAAGAAAACCTCTTGTGTCCTTGCCTTGGAGTTCACTTTGCTTTGGATTCTCCTTTTCATTAAGATAT